ACTTATTACGGTAGTCATTTTTATTTAATTCAATTGAATTTTTATTGATTTTAATTAATTCATTATATTCATATATCATTTTTGTTATCTAAATATTGTTCTATTCTAGTATCGAAAAAATCTTCGAAAGGATAAGCTAATCAGTATAGATTAATGATCGCATGAATATTCGAGATTAGAAAATACAACAAAACAAAAAAGAAAAAGAAAACATCATTATCAATTATTTTGCTCATTTATTTTCAGTTCATATATATATATACAATATTTCTTGATAGATAATATCAACGTTTGTGCATGTTTATTGATTTGCTCTTATTCTTCGAAAGATGCATGATACTTCTTAACTTTAACATAGATTCTGCTCAATCTTTTATTCCTGCTCATCTGCTTATCATAGGTTGTTTTTTTTAGATAGAAAGTTTTTCCAGTTAAAGAAGGAAAAAAAAGGACAAATTTGAAAATTCCCTAGTTGGTTTTTTTTTCTTATATTTATAATAAAATCATCTTTTTTTTTTTAATTTTTGATAGTTATTGGTTCGTTATAATGAACTTGATCATGCATTGGATGATGTAAGTATTTCAATAAAATCAATTCGTACACTTCAACAACAACCAACAGATGAACTTAATCAATTTATTTTACAATGTCAAGTAAATAAAATTTCATGAATAATAAAAGTTAAAAATAATAAATAAATTTATTTAGAGTAAAGATCGTGAACTTACACAACATCGACATGAATTACAACGTTTACGACAAAGAATAAGAGAAGTAATTCTATTTATATTATTCAAATATATATTATTTTAAAAAAAAAATGTTAGATATCTCCTGAACTACATCCTGATGATATAGATCAATTAATGCAAAAATTGAAGTAATAAAACCAAAAAATTAATATTTTTATTATTGATCAATTCTTTCTTTTTTTTTGTTCTAGTGTACTTGAAATTCAATGGACTGATGCTGAACGTATTATAAGAACATTAATTGATAATTTAACAAAAAAACGTTCAGAATATCATGATTTTGAAAATAAATGTAAACGTCTTATTGAATGGTTTGAACATTTTCTTAATACTGAAATCAATCATCGTATTGATGGTTTAACACTTGAAGCAAGTCTTGATATATTAAAAACTGAAATACGAAATTTAATTAGTGATAAACGAAGATCTGTTAATGATTTAGTTATAGCAGCACGTGTTTTACAAAGACATATAACTGATCAATTACAATTACAAACATTAAAACAACAAATTGATCGATTAGAACAAATACTTAATAGAACAGAAAAACATGTTGAAAAACGGTTTGTTTTATTCTCATTTAAAAACAAATATTAATGTTTTCATTTTGTTATTGTTATTTTTAGAATTAAAAAGACTGAAATAGTTCTTAAAATGTTTCATGATTTTGAACAAGGTTTAGAAAATCTTCGTTCATGGATGATGGATACTATTGAAACAAATTTACAAAAATCATTATCAATAAATACATTAAATTCAAATGAATTACGTGCTCATCAACAATCTATTATTGTATGTAAAACAAAAGACTCTACCGGGTGTGATGATCACCTTTGAATTGAAAAGTCACCTATATCATTTTCTAGAGCAGTTCGCAATGCATTCAATCGTATATAGAAGATCACATTTTCACTAAAGAATTTTCTATAGAATTCACCAACTAGTATACAAAGTCTTGGTGAAAATGTGATTTTCTATACACTACTGTACATCTCGTGTATTGCTCTACACAATGATAAAGATAGCAAATCCGTTAGCGTCAAACAAACTAAACAAAAATATTTTTGAAATTTTTAGACAATCGAAGGAGATATTGAAAAACATACTACTATTGTTAGTAGTGTTCTAGCACTTGGTCATTATTTATTAAGTGAAATTGATATTCGTTCACGAAATATTAATTCAATACCACGAACAATTCAATCAATTGAACAACGTTGGACATCATTGAAAGATTTAATACGAAAAAGAAAAGTTGAGTAAAGAATTTATTCATTTTAATAAAATAAAATATTTCATAAATGATAGATTGGATACACAACATGTATCATGGAAAAATGTTGAAGATGCAATAAAACGTGCATCAAAAATGATTACTGATCATGAACGATTTCTTAATGAAGTTAAAAGAACATGTGGACAAGGTTTACAAGGTGTTAAAAATGAATACAAAACTCTTGAGGTTTGAGATTTCAAAAATTTCTTTTTTTTTTTTCTAACATTTTCTTATTTATTTAAATTTTTAAGAATTTTAAACGAACATTAGATAATGATGAAAAAGATATTCAACAAATTACAGATAATTATTCAGAAATTATTCGAAATCATCCAACAGCAGATTCTACAGGAGAAATTCGTTCAAAAATTAAAGAAATTAATACTCGTTGGGAAATATTAATTGGAACAGTACATCAAACAATGAAAAATGTATTTAACAAAAAAAAAAAGAAAATTCAATTTCATGTTTTTTTTATTTTTATTATTATTTTAGCTTAAATATATGTTAAGTGTACATGGTGATTTTCAATTAA